TTATATCCAAAGTTCCTTGCTCACTGAATCATGCAATGTGTAACATATTCATTGAGGACTACATATAAATCACACTTCTCCTTTGTCTTAGTTCTTAATTTAAAAAACAAACAAACAAACTGATCCTTGGAAAGCCCCACAAAAGCTAAATGTTTCCTTAGTGCCCTCCAACTTGTAAATAAGGAGATGAGTGTGCATCACAATATTTTGTGTTGCTAATAGATAGGTCCTCTCAGACTCATAACTCAGGTCCGATCAGTCTGGAAGTCAGCTGTGAATTTTTTTCTTTGTTTTCTTTGTTTGGTTCTCTTTTTCTTGGATCTCTAGAAAGTACACAAGTGCTCAATTCAATTTCCAGTATTGCAACGGCAACTAATAGGTTTTACAGAATGTTTAGTATGCAATGATGTTTTCAGCTTATAGGCTGTTCATCTTCATAACAAACTTGTCACCTCATGGAGGCTGAGGGCACATCTGTATTGTTATTTTCTTGCTCTAGAACAATTCAGCAGATTGTTACAAAGGTGGCTAGCATGGAGTTATAGAGGGTGAGTAAAATGCAGATAATCTCTCAAAGTGTTGTGGTCCACCAGCAGCCTGAGGAGCTGGCAGCAGAGTCGGACAGTGAGGAGGCTGGGGAGGAACATGGGCCAGTCCTGGAGTCTGGGGAAGGCTCGGACGAGGGCTCTACATCAGAGGCAGAGATAGGGCCAGGGCCATCTGGGAGTTATGTGCTGACTCTGGAGCCTCCAGAGTCTGACGTCAGTGAGGCAGAGGAACAGGGAGAGCCTGTTCCCAGTGCGCGCATGCGCAGAGCTGCCAGAAGGCAAGAACAGTTAAGACAAAAGGGGTGACTCGGGAGTAAGGCTTGGAGATGATTGGTCCCTCCCATAAGTCATAAAGGAGGAACAAAGGCATGTGAGCCTTTGCAGGAAGCAACTTTGTTTGTGCTGGTCGGTTTAAATTCTGAAGCTCCATTTTGACTCTGTGCTTCGTGTGGCCTTGCAAAGCTAATTGCCAATTAGGTCTTTGGCAGTGTGTTAAGGGAGATAAAGGTGGGTGCTTATCAGCCTTATCCCAAAGGACTGTGGCAGACTTCTGTCGGACTCTCTACAAACTATTTGTGACTCATCACGGGCTGGGAATGAACAGAATTCACAGCCGTTGAAATAAAAAGAGGGTTTTGGGGACCAATTGTGTGCTTTTTACTGTCTCAGGAAGCCTAGGTCAGTATACAAAAGTGCTTTTTCAAAAGAAAACTGGACTATGTTTTTTGAAGAAGAAGATGATTCACTTCTCATCCAAGAAGTTTCCTCAATTCATCATTGAGACAACCATGTCCTGGATGACTGAGAATCTCCATAGATATTCATCCAGGTAACTCACAATCTGAACCAAAAACTTCCATGTCTGTGGTATACTAAGAGAGAGAGAGAGAGAGAGAGAGAGAGAGAGAGAGAGAGAGAGAGAGTGTGTTCGGGAACTACGCTTAGACTCTTCACACAGATGGTCCCAAGCTCAGTCCAGATCGAAGGATCAACCACAATCTGGAGACATCCAGTCCAGTGGTGGGTTTCAAAAATTTTTACTACTGGTTTTGTGGGTGTGGCTTGGTAGGCGTGGCATGAATTGGTGGGCATTGCTTGGTGGGAGTGGCAGGGAAAGGATACTATAAAATCTCCATTCCCTCCCCAATCCAGGGGAAGGTTACTGCAAAATCCCCATTTCCTCCCAACCAGCTAGGACTTGGGAGGCAGAGAATAGATGGGGGTGGGGCCAGTCAGAATTTTTACTACCGGTTCTCCGAACTACTCAAAATTTCCACTACCGGTTCTCCAAAACTGGTCAGAACCTGCTGAAACCCACCTCTGATCCAGTCGGAAAACTCAGTAATGAACTAACTGATAAATAACCTCTTCTGGTAAAGGGGTGTCCTACATTCCTAAGTTTCTTCTAACCAACCTTTCCTCACGACCACCACTCACTCCACCAATCATTTATTTTCTGTTTCAGCTTGAAGCATTTCAAGCAACTCAAACAAACAAACAAACAAAGACACACACACACACACACACACACAAATGCAAACTATTCGAAAGTTGTATAATTCCATATAAGTATAAGCTTGGTACCCTAAGAAAAAAAAAGTAAAACATATTTTTTGTTGTAGCGTTCAACATGTACTATATATGGATTGTTATCTACAGTAATTTCAAAAGTCTGTTTATATAGGGCATTTTTACTGCTGAAGTTGCACTCCCAAAAGAAAGTGATTTATAAAATGCAACAAGCAAGCAAACAATGAAACTCACTGATAGTTAAAGCAGAATTAAAACCACAACTAACTGTTACTAAATAAAATGAAGCAACGGGCAGATTTTTTAAAAAGTAGCTGTCTTAAGGAGAACATTTTTCAACACAGAATTAAGCCACTGCACACGGGACATCCAGCAATAACATGCTGCATAATGTATATCTAAACACTTTGTAATTGCACATTATCTTGTACATGGAAAAAATAATACGTTCCACACTTATCTGCACCAAATAGATTGTGGTGTTCTTTCTGCGTTGGTTTTTAACAGGAATGTGAAGAAGCTCAAAGCATCACTTGCTGGAGATAAATGAATCAATCTATTTCTGCCTTGAGTCAATTTTGCATATGTTAATGCAATTTCTTACATTACTTTACTGGAAAATACTTAATATTTTTGCATCACCCCATTCACCAATGGACCAGCTTGAAATATAACTGCAATTAATTCCATATATATTCATCCAGGACAGAGGTGGGTTTCAAGCAGGTTCTGACCAGTTCTGGAGAACCGGTAGCAGAAATTTTGAGTAGTTCGGAGAACCGGAAGTACAAATTCTGGCCCCGCCCCCCATCTATTCTCTGCCTCCTGAGTCCCAGATGATTGGGAGGAAATGGGGATTTTACAGTAACCTTCCCCTGGAGTGGGATGGGAATGGAGATTTTACAGTATCCTTCCCCTGCCATGCCCACCAAGCCACACCCACAGAACCGGTAGTAAAAAAATTTGAAACCCACCAGTGATCCAGGATCAATGCATAACATCATGTGACAAGTGAAAAGATTGGCACTGAAAAATTCACTTTTTTTAGTTAAAAATAAAATAAAAATAAAGCCAGTTTGTGATTCTTTTTTCTAGAAAAAAAAAATCATGTGTCCATTGGTGCATGGTTGACTTGAGGAGACCACAGTAGTTGACAAAAGCTTGTACCTTTAAATAAAATGTGTTAATCAGAAAGGGTGCTACCAAACTCCTGATTTTTATCACAAAATAAATATATCTGCTGACAATAATTTCAATATAAAATACAAAAAAAAATGCTGCGTTTTAAATGTGAAGGATATTAATTTGGTACTTCACTTAGAAATTTAGCCACAAAGGAGACTGAGGCTCTGTGTGCATCTATTTAAAAACAGATGTTAATTCACTCAGCCGTCGAGTTCATAACATTTCATAACAATAGTTTAGAAAACTATTTACACTGAGCAGCGTTTTTCAAACTTGGCAACATTAAGATGTGTGGAGTCTGGCACACTTCTTAAAGTTGCCAAGGTAATGAAAAATTGCTCTAGAACCATTATGGCAAATCTATAGCACGTGTGCCCGAAGTGGCACATGAAGCCATGTCACCAGGCACGTGCGGCATCACCCGTTCCTTTTCCGGGTTTCTGGCATGCATGCTCACACTACGATCAGTTGGCCTTTGTGCGTGCAGAAGTGCTGGTAGCCGGAAGAACTGGTCTTCTGTTTTCCGGTGTGAGCATGCGTGCCGGTCAGCTGATCGGCACATGTGCATGTGTAGTAGTAACTAGAAGACTTGCTAGCCATCATGCATGTGTGTGCCGGAAACCGGAAGTACATTATCTGGCATGCACATGCCCTCTGGGCAGCTCCTCTTCCTGGTTGCAGCCCTGACAAGCGCGCATGCGTGAAGTGCTCCCTTTCAGCACTTGGTGCCGAAAAGGTTCGCCATTGCTGCTCTAGAAGATCAAGAAGAGTGATCCAGTTCCAGGCTCTGCATTTTAGGCATTGATAAATGCTTGCATGTCTGGAGGTGTGTCTAGTCTAGTGAGAAGAAGGACTAGAGGTGACATTATATTCCAATATTAGAGGGGCTGCCACAAAGAAGAAGCAGGGGGAGGTCAACCGATTCTCCAAAGCACCTGAAGGCAGGACAAGAAACAATTTATGGAAACTAATCAAGGAGAGAAGCAATCTGGAACTAAGGAGAAACTTCTTAATAGTGAGAACCATCAATCAGTGGAATGATTTGCCTTCAGAAGTTGTGGGTGCTCCATCACTGGAGGCATTTAAGAAGAGGTGGAACAGCCACTTGTCTAGAATAGTATAGGGAAGGAGTGTCAAACTTGATTTGATTGATGGCCGCATCAGGGTTCTGTTTGACCTTGGGGGGGGCAGGGGGCGTGGCCAGGGGGCGTGGCCAGCTTGATGTCACTTCCGTCAAGGGCGCCTGTGGGAGCCCAAGCACTCTGCTAGCAAAATGGCTTCCTGCAACCTGTCAGCGAAAACAGAGCTTGGAAAGGCCGCACATGCTTCATTTTCGCTGGCAGAGGCACCGCAGGCCGGTCCTTTGCTGTTTCCAGGTTGGCCCCCATGGGCCAAATCTAAGCATCCTGCAGGCCGGGTCCAGCCCAGGGGCCTTGAGTTCGACACCCCTGGCATAGGGCCTCCTGCTTGAGCTGGGGGTTGGACTGCAAGACCTTCAAAGTTCATTCCAACTCTATTATCCTGTTATTATCGACAAATGAGCAACCAAGATGATAAGGAAAGAACATTTTATGAGGAATGGATGGAGTTACTAGGTATGGTTAGCCTTGGGAAGAGAAGACTGCCATGAACCCTTTCTTCAAGGGCCTGAAGAGCTGTCATTCAGGGGACAGAGCAGAATTGTCCTGAATTTTTCCATAAAACAGGGAAAGAATTCAGAGTAACGCATAACCTTACCTGATAAAACTCGGACTTCTGCTTCATTTCCAGTTCTTGAACTAGCGGGATTTTTGGCAAGGCATCTATAGATCCCACTGTCCCCTGCTTGAATCCGACTGATTTGTAAAGATCCAGAAGGCAAAATGGCTACTCGAGTGTCACCAGGATTCATAAGCAGATCTTCTTGGTTTCTCTGCCAGTGGACTGTAGGCATAGGTTCACCAACAACTTCGCACTTTAATAAAACGGTGTCACCTGCAAATGCTGTAACGGAGTCTGTCTGGGACAGAAACCTCAGTGGACCTGCAGAAAGGAAAAGATAATTGAAATTAAGGAAGAATATAGATCTAAAAGATACACATATATATACACAAATGCACATCTTTATTTATTAAACTTATATGCCACCCGTTTCACCATGGCATAGTTTTGGAGAGCTTACAACATGATCAATCAATATTATAAAACAATATTTTATTTTTATTTTTATTTGTTGTTTTAGCAAATTTAGTTAATTGCCTTCTGGTAGAAGAAGACAAGACATAGCCAGTAGGAGAGAGTAAAGAGAGAAATTAGTCTGGAATCATTATGTTGTCACAAACAATCGAAGTCCAGTCCCTCTTGAATTCCATTAACTCCAATTTAGTGCTGACCAAGAGTTGATTAAATTCTTGTGTACATTCATGAGTAATAAATCAATTTAACAGTTAAATGGGTATAGTCCTGATTCTTCATACCTGAAACTTCCAACCAGAAATGATTTTCACACATTAGTATAGTAATATTCAGCCTTTCAACCAATGAGATTTTGTGATAATGCCATTCCTCAAGATATAATTCAACTAAAAACAATTAAAGTCCTAGATTAAAACCAGATCGTTTATTTTGTGCGATATATTTTCTCAACATTGAGGGACTATCGAACTAGAGATGGTGGATCGATTAATAGGAGCTCCCACCTCCTCACAGATATATTCTGCTTCTTTCCTCTCCATCTTTTACTTTTAGTTACAATTTCTACTTTCATTATGATCTTATTGTGATTTCATACATTTGTGTGTGTGTGGTTTTTTGTTTTTTTGGTTTTTTTTGAGGCTGTAAACTGCCCAGAGTTGTCTTGCAGCAAGATGGGCAGCAAGCAAATTTAATAAATAAAATAATCATCCCAAAATAACTGGAGCACCACTTGAACATCACTGGCATCAACAAATTCACCATCAGTGAATCAGACCAGTCCTGGATTGCCAAGCATAGGCAATTGCCTAGAGATGTGGTGATTTATTTTACAGACAGAGAAATTAGGAATAACATCGTGCAAAATTCCTTCAATTCTAAGTTGCAATTGCATGGAAGAAAGATTTGGATTTACAAGGAACTCCCACCTAAGATATTGATGGAAAGGAAGAAATTTGGTTTTCTGGTGAATGAGTTAAAAAAGAGAAATATCTTATACAGGTGGGACGCCCCAGTTGGTATTATATTTAGATATCAAGGAGAAAGATATCAGCTAAACACTGTTGAAAGAGCGGAAGAATTTTATCAAAATAGGTTGAAAATGAACTTAACATCTTCAGGTATAATACAGGATAAGCAGAAGGAGCCGGAAATAAAGGTAAAATATCGAAATATAGAGACTGTACCAGAAGAATTGCCTTTGGATTTATTGGATACCCCAGCTGGACTATCTACAAATCTGAGAGAAGTGGCATCTAACCTTAAGGTGATGACTTATCAAGGCAAGGATAAGCATGGAAACCAATTAGGGGAAATACAAGGGATAAAAAAGAAACATGAGATACAAAAACAAAACCAACAAGACCAATCTACAAAGCAGAACAAAATCCGACCGGATGATACACAATTTGTAGAAAAGAAACCAGGATGGAAAACAAACCCACAAAAAGAAAAGAAAAAAAAAAGAAATAGGTGGCATAAAAATAGAAATTTCTAAATCAGGCAACAGTGAAGCCAGTGACTTTAAAATATGAATTATTATGTGTAAACACAGAAGAGGCGACATATTGGTTAATATCATCCTGAAGATTGTGGCAGATCTCTGCATGGCCGTAATTTGGGGACGTGAAATGAGCCTTAAACTGATGGATTTGAATTATCCATTTTGGAATTTTTTTTTTGTGTTGATAAATATATTATATTATCTCGAATTACAAGGCAAGAGAATTATGCTGGGGCATGCAGAAGATCGGGTTGTTACCCACTACGATGACGGGAATTAATAATCCTGATGAAACCCATAATTATTACTATATGGAATATAATTATAATGTCACTCGGGTGGTTGTTTTTACTTTTATATATATAAGAAGATATTTACTACTGATGGGGGCAGATATGATTGAAGATTTTGAATAAACTGTTGCACCAGCAAGTTATGTTACCCGATTATGGATGTTGGTTCTACCAATCCAGTGGAAAGATTTTAAAGAAGATACTATATGGATTATAAATTTAAAGTTATTGTCTTTTCTTCTTTTTTTTTTTTTTATTTAGATATAATGGAAAATATAGACATAGATTTTTAAGAAGGGTGGGCAGTGAATCAATGATATTAAGAAATGTTGTGTATGGTAATTTTGCTTGATAGTGGGTGAATAAGCTAGTCAGTAGATTGATTAGTCTAAGAAAAGGGATTTTTAAGTGATATATTTAGGGGAGTGGAGGAAATGGATACAGTGGAATAAATGTTAAACTAGATTTGATGGGGAAGGCTGCTTTGAAATGTCATAGTAATATACATAGAAGATTAAATGTTAAAGTAGGACTTATTGTATAGTTTTAAAGTGGAGAAGTTATAATGTCATAGTATAATGTCTTTTTTTTTCTTTTTCCTTTTTTTTCCCTTTCTTTTCTCTTTTCTCTTTTCTGAAATGTATGGATAAAGGGGGATGTTATAATATTAATAATATTTTTAGTAAGTAAAGGTCAATATCTAGAGGAGGGAGTAAGTAATCTGTTATGAATTAGTTTTTTTTTTGTTATGAAGAAGTCACGGGGGGGATGGGTGGGGTGGGGAGGGGGGGTTAGGGAGGGGGAGGGAGAGGGGGGGAAAAAAAGGGGGAAAAATCTGTATTTGAAAACTTTTTCAATAAAAAAAACAAATTCACCATCAGTCAATTGCAAAAGACAGCTTTACTCAGAATGGCTCACATCCTGCAACGATACCTCCAACACAGGGTGAGCTTCAAAAATTTTAGCAAGGGGTTCTCTGCCCAGTTGCTGGGTGGACATGGCCATGGTGGGCGTGGCCTAGTTGACCTCCTGTACCACGTGGGGGTGAGTTTGCCCTCCCTGGGCTCTGGAGGCTTTCCTTGAGCCTATGGGAGAGCAAAAACAGCCTCCCTAGGCTGGGGAGGACTTCTGGAGGCCGGAAATGGGCCCATTTCTGGCCTTCCCAAACTTCCAGTAGACCCACTTTTTGCCCTCCCCGAGCCTCCGTGCACGCCCTGCCCTTACCTGCATCCAAAATGGGCCATGTGGGGACTCCTGGAAGGGGCAGGGTGGGGTGGGCAGGGTCAGAAAGGAGTGGGATTTGGGGGTTTTCCGAACTGCACAGAATCTTAGCTAGAGGTTCTCCCGAACCCCTGTGAATCCTCAGCAGCCCACCCCTGCTCTAACACCATAAAACATCAACATCTTCCCATCCCAAATCCTTGGGAAGGACTCGATAAGCAGACAAAAATGCAACATCCAGTCTAAACATCTGATTGACTGTGTGACAAATCATCATCATAATAATGAGAAAAAAATCAGACCACAGCAACACAAATTATCCAATTATCATTCTGATAAATGTTCTTAAAATGTAAGAAGTCAAACCCTCCAGGGAAAAAAAAAGCTTGATTTAATTAATGATTGAAAAAGTTTGGATTAAGGAATTACTTAATAGCCATTTTTGAATAAATTACAGAAATGCTTGCAGAAATGCATCAGAAATTGCTCTGGGAGAAAAGAAGCAGTGTTCTTGGGTGATGTAATATACCAAACTCTCATATATTTTTTTCTCCAGGTTTTATCTGTCAGATTATGTGAAACCTGCCAATTTCATTATATTCAAAATCACGCTTTAACAAATAATAATCTAATGCAATATGTCAGTCTAGTGAAAGGATAGTATTGGTAAGGACAACAGATATGGGGTAAAGATTAGAAGAAATTTCATAATGATAAACATTATTTGACAGCAGAGATTATTTGCTGGAAGTGCTGAAGAAAAAAAAAACAGAATTACCATCTGCTAGTGGTGTAAAAATACAATAAAGTACACAATGGAGCATACAAAAAAAAAAAAAAAACTGTGATGAAATTTGAATATATGTAAGAAAATTATCCGGACTCAATTATAGTAGTGATGAATGCACCATTGAAAAAATCTGAAAAACCAAAGTGGGGAGAAATTCTCCTGAAGATAATCTATTTATGTGTTCAGTAAGAACTAACCTCAATTATATGGCACATAATTATATGAAAGAAAGGATATCATTATCATCTTGTATAAAAATGTTCATAGTACTTCTTCAAAGACTATAGGCCAGGCTCCCGGGTTGGACCGGATCACCCGATCCAGTAGCAATGGCGGGGGTTCGGAGAACCGGTAGCAAAAATTCCTGCACTCTGCCGATCAGGCAACTCAACTAGGATCGTTAGAGAGGTATTTTTTAAAAAGCCTCTCTGAGGATCCCAGCTGAGTTGCCTGATCGGCAGAGGCTTTTCAAAGCATTAGAAAAAATGCTTTATGTTGTTTTTTTTTTAAATCTAAAATAAAACTTTTTCAAAAAAAAAGAAAAAGAAAAAATGCTTTGAAAAGTTAAAAAAAAAAGTTGGCCACGCCCACCCAGTCATATTACCCCCCACCAAGCCACGCCCACAGAAACGGTAGTAACAGATTTTACATTTCATCCCTGCTATAGGCAGTTTACACAATCAAAAGAACCTTATACGAAATTCTACCTCTCTTGCATCTCCCCACCCCAAACCAAAAATGAAAAGAAATATTTGAGAGGCTGCCAAAAAGAGGAGGGGGGTCAACCTGTTTTCCAAAGCACCAAAAGGAAAGACAAGAAACAATGGAGGGAAACTAACCAAGGAGAGAAGCAACTTAGAACTAAGGAGACATTTCCTAACCGTGAGAACAACCAACCAACGGAGAAGCTTGCCTTCAAAAATTGTGGGTGCTCCATCACTGGAGGCTTTCAGAAAGAGACTGGACAACCATTTGTCTGAAATGGTGTAGGGCAGTGAAGGCTAACCTTTTATGTCACCGCGTACTGACTTGCATGCCGGAA